AAATTTCTTCGCTTTTTCTGCGGTCAAGAGGCGTGGGACGTGTCACGTGACATGTCGGGGGGAGGGGTTGACCAAGGGGATTTTCAGACAGATCATGGAAGATGGATGGACCCGGTGAGTATTTCACTCATGTGCCGACCTTAGTTTGGCTGATCACGCTTCATACCAAAGCTACAACTCAGGCGAAATATTTGGGACCACCATCTACTCATCACTGGAAGTAAAACATATTGATCGGATGGCTTGGTTTTCCCAGGCAAACCACGTCTTTCATAAGCTCCAGGTTACATTGAGCTACAAGAAATATGGTACATCTCTAAATAATGATTTGTCTGAGATACTGACTTGAGCTAAAAGTGATCATAAACGAGATTGAATTTCGACTTGACGTTTTGGCACTACCTCCTGACGGCTATTTATTTATTGTCCGCTCGAGGATCTAAACACGAGAGCGGACTCATACCGATGGCCGAACTGTCCAGCTTACTGGTCACTCGATCCATCCGGCACCGGACGGCTCAGCATGGCTGAGGCAGGATCTCTGGGATTCCCTGCCATTGACTTGTCAACAAAGGCATACGGATACTCATGGGATGTCAATGTCTACGCCGCATTGCGTAAATTTCACGAAGCCAAAGGATTTAACGCAGATAGCCAGGACGTTGCGCGGCATCTCGGGCACCCACTGTATCAGATTTCCGGTGAGATGGAGGTACCATTTGCCCATGGTAAGTGACATATATGTTTACTCATCGGAATAGTGGATGGCGAGGTTTTGGATGTTGAAACCGAGAGAGAAAGCTATACGGTCACCAATCCCGATGAGAATGGCCAGGGTGGAACTCCCGAAGATGGTGCGTGTAATCAACAACCTTTCTCTTGCAATCTAACTATTCTGATTCGCAGAGTGGTTTGTTTTCGGCCCACCACGAATTCCTTCCCTTGATGTTGCAGAATCGGCTTCCCAATCTTGGGGCTGGAAAGCTGTAATGTTTGTCCAGCTTGTGTTGATCCTAGCCTTAAGCTTCCGATCGTTGTACGAATATGGGCGGGCAGTTCTCTCCCAGCGAGACATTTAACGCCTCAAAAAATAGGTTCAACATCTTGAATCTTGAATTTCTTCCTTTGTATAAGCTCGCGTTCATCATTATATATCTCCTTTGAATCGATCTTGGTAGCTTGTTATGCGGTATAGACTCTCAAACTCTGTGTCGTCCCTGCATCACTCGGCAGAATGCCCCTTCCGGGACGGCGTATATAGATCTCTCAGACGGCACGGCATGGACATGTCTTCCCTCTCGCAGGATACGGACATGTCCTCCTCCATGGGCGGCTTGGACTATGCAGCATTTGCCTGGGATCAGTGCGTCCTCACGTTATTCATATTTCAAACCTTCGTTAACACACGCGTGCAGTTGGATATACCGCACCATATTCCTCTCCGGGCTGGGTACGCCTTATTCCCGAATCAACTTCCATTATACTCAGCAGATCGTACAGTCATTCTGGTGTACGACCACCTACTGACCATGGGATCCGAGGTCGAGCTTATCTGGTACTCCAGAAAACGTCTCAGTACCTATTGGTTCTTTGTCGTCCGATATCTCTGCCTCGGCTGTAGTGCAATAATGTTGGTGTTTTATTTCCGTGACTTGAGCCCCGAGGTAAGGAACTTTCTTCGTGGTTCCATATGTTGTTCGCTAATTCGTTCCTCATGAAGAGGTATGCATGATCTCAAATCGGGCTCGCGGTGTCTACCAGTCGATCTAACGGATTTCGCAGCTGCTCGAGGTTGGAAAGGGGGCTGGAAGCTTTCGTGCTACTACAAGAGAGTCTAGTTGTAGGTGTGTACTCTGCGAATCCACTGGTTGTTTCTCCGACTCATTTCCCCGTAGTGAGCCTTACCATCCGAGTAGTTTCCATGTATGCCTTCAACCTATGGGTCCTCGCCGCCTTCCTTACCATCGGGGGCGTCGCTTCTGCCCTTGCCTTGGTACGTACCTCAGTCCAATTACAGTTCTCCCCTCCATATGTGCTGAACATCTTTAACGGCTTAGTGGACGATCATCGAATTGGGTCATCCGCAGATGCTCACAGCGCCAGGCATGACTGGGTGCCATACCGCAATCCCTTGATCCAGGTAAGTACGGACAATTATAAAAGTGGCTAGTTAATTCAGACGTCGTGTCTCCGCAGCGCACTCCGTGCGTTCCTCCCCAGGCTCTGTCCACCCAAGCTGACTGACAAGTTCCAGGACTCGCAGGTGCCTGGGAAGCCCAGTGCGTCTCCTTTGCTCGCTAAATCAGAGTATCAAACTAACTAGCGCACCTCTCTTAGACTCACGATCGACCTCCTAGTCTTCGGGCTCACCCTTCGCCGTGCCATCGCCGAGCGCTCCGTGATTCAGATGGTTCAGGGCTCGCTCATTAACCGCATGGCGCGCGATGGTGTGTTTATTTCTTGTCTTGCTTTGGATACCTTCCTCAAGGTTGACGCGATGCTGGGTTAGGCGTGATGTATTTCGGGTTTGTTTCTTCTTTACAAACGTCGGCGGGTGTCTTATTGATTTCATTGGAACCCGCAGAATAATCGTTCTCGCCAACTTGGCGAATGTCCTGTCGCTCTATGTGTGTGCCTCAGAACCCCGTTCGACGACTGCTAATACAAGCGCGATATTTAGTTCGGAGACGTACGCCTATCAGCCCAAATTACCTTGAGCGATGGATATGCTAACTGAATCTATTGAAGATAATCATCGCCGGAATCCTCTCCTGGTGGACTACTTCGTGCGTCCTTAACTTCTACATATAAATGTCATAGGTAACTAATATTGAACCACAAAAGCCTATCCGTCACCCTCATCTCGCGGCTCATGCTGAATTTGCACCGCGCCGGGGTGGGAAATTCCGCGACGACGGACGACGGCACGACGGAACACCAAGACCTACATTTTGTCGGCCAGGACGCGCCCCGTCGTCGAGACGCTCAAGATGACCCGCTGTCCTCGTTGGACGACGTCTAGAGGTTCGAGAAGCAAGTAATATATAATGTAATTATGTTTGTATTGTACGTTTTTGCTCTCTGGTCTTTGCTGGAGGGCACTCACAGAGGGATGCAGAATAATGATAATAAAACAAGTACTGTTGTGCAAATGAAGCGTTGCCCAAGCTCTGTCCATACTGATTCCTCGGCCCTCAGCTCTGTCTCCGACTTCGGCGAGAATTCTGGATCTCATCCTTCGTCCAGGGTTCCCATGGAGAGTTGATGGGTTATTTAAATTTTGCCGTGGCGGCAGGAGACTTTGGCAATGGTTTGAGCTGTTTTCGATATAAAGCAAATTCATAATCCGGATCCCAGGAAGAGGGACAGAAACCTTCAACGACGCTCAGACATGGCCCATCCCCAAATCGAACGGGATTCCTGCTTCCGTCATGCCAGAGGCGCATCAAACACCGAGGCGCCCCAGCGCCCCCGATCCTTTTCGGGGACTCCGGGCGACTAATACGTTCCTGAAAGACAATACTTTTTGAGGATCCGATTGATCACGAGCTAATTTCATTACGGATCGAGAATGAAAGCCAAAACATTTCGGATAATTCTTCATGCCCGAATAGTTCTACTTGTTGGGTGCGGATGAGTGGGGTCGTGAGGGTGAAATGCGCCCGTGTCACAGCCCGATGACCGTAGACGTTTGATTCCCTCCCGTTTGAAGGCCGTATAACCTGATGAGCGCCAGATTATTTCGGAGTCAGGAACACCTCTTCATTATCAGGTTCGCACCGACCCGCAAGAGAGCATAATTTTCGAACATATACAGGAGCGAAGATATTGTACATTTGAAGGTTCCTCGTTCGGCTTCGGGATATGGAGTAATGAAGATGAGAAGCACCAGTATCACAACTGGGGAGATTGGCGACCCCATATATCGGTGGCTTGCGCCTAAATTATAGGGTCAGGGCCCATATCTCTCTCCCCATGTTGTAAATTCCTGTCGCAGTATTAATGATCTCCCCCAGGCCAAATCAAGCACATCAAGCACCCTCACCGATCCCCCAAATTAAACAGAAATCATCGACGAGAGGCTGGCGCGACGATAGTGGGTCCAACAAGCCGCAAACGAGAGAATCAACACAGCGACGATGGAGGTGGCCACCCCGGCGGTGAGTCCCGGACGATTTTGCGCCGATTCTAAGATCGCTCCCTGTCAAAGTGTGCGGTGCGTGTTGTACCTCGTAATCATGCTAGGCGGCAGAAGAGGGAAATACCTTGAAGTCTGGGCTGAAACGCTTGAGAGGGGAGATTGTCTGGATTTCGAGCATCGGAGTAGACCAGAGGGTTCGAAGCATGGGACAGAAATCTGATAAACGTCGAGTATTCGTTGACCTCTGTGGCACAATTGTGTTCAAAGAAAAGTCGAAGCGTCTCTCGAAGGTGTTATAAAGCCGGTAAAAATCACAAAAAGCATCGCTTTATAATAAACCTTTCATTCATCATGAGTTTGGCGGTTAGCCGCCGAAATGGCGTTTGCGAACGGTGATTTCCACAGCATTTGTTGCCTTCGGGGGCAGAGTTCATATGTTTGGCCCGAATCTCTGGAATCTGTAAACGCAATTGCCTCAGATTTTACAGTTCCACGTATACAAAGCGACCGCGGAAGTTTATCGATGGAAGCAACTGAGGTGTGCAGTACCATGGACACAGGCATCAGAATGCGTAGAAGGTAGTGAACAGCTCGGGCAGAGCCTTTACCCGGCGGTTCGCCTTTATTTCCCGGTCCGCGCGGCGAGTTGAATTGCGGAACGCCTGATGAGACCGTTGCCCTGGGTTGGAATATTCAGAAAGTGTGTTCTGTATCACTGAACCAGCGTTTCATTCGGCCAGTTTATGCCGGCCCTGCGACAATGAGGAACCTCAGAAAAAAATTGGGCGATTGATGCCATCGATTGCCTCTCATAAGGGGCATCAACCTCGCTTGGACTTCACGTGACGGGGAAAAAAACTGACCCCTGCCCGGATCGAACGGACGGCCTTCGCGAAAGGATTACGGAACTATCAACTGGAATGCGACGCTCTACCACTGAGCTAAGGGGTCTACACTCGAAGTTAGGACACCTCAGATGGTAGAAAGAACGTGCCGGCGACTTAATTCGGGCTACTGTTATACCTGGCTGGAACTTCGGCAGAAGCGATCGGTCTATGTGCCACAGAAGGTGACAGACTGGACAGACTGAACGAAACCACTAACCACTGAATCTGCAATCAATCGATTTATCGAATAAATCCTCGCGCAGGAGGGCGCAGTCACGGAATTTGGACTCGCACCGGAAAGTGGCACGTGACCCTCCGTTGCGTAATGTCACCACACTCAGCCTGCGTCTACCTCTCCTCAAGGAATCAGTAGGTTAGTTATATTGGTTCATTCTGCCAAGACTTTTTCTTTATCGACAGTCGCCGGTTCGAACACCAGCGCCGACCCTTTTTCAGTTTTTGAGCCGCCGGAGGCAAAAGCTCCACGCAGTGGGCCCCCGCGGCGAGCGGCAGCCCCGCGCAGCGGTCGGGGTCTGGGGTGGAAAACCCCAGCCGTCCGGGCCGGCGCCCGAAACAACCAACGAAGGTAAGAAAATGTAACAAAAGACGAAAAAAGACATGCAATTACACAAAGAAAAAGGCCCGCAATAAAAACGAGATCTAGGTGAAAAAACAGTTGAGTACCGGCCGTCAGGCCAGAGGAGGGGGGTCGGGGGGGAACACCGTTCCCACCAGCGCAAAGCAGTAACCGTTGTGACGTGACGTCACACTTTCCGGTGCGGGTAGGACCCCTGAGAATGCCGCGAGGAGGTAGGATTCAACAGTCCGGACAAAAATTTTGAAAATTGACACGAGCTGTGATGCTAGTCCGGACAAAATTGGTCCGGATTGTCCCGACCTTGGATTCTTAGTCCGGACAGGAAATTTTGGGCACAGGTAGGTTGGATACAGAGTCCGGACAAATTTTTGGTCATTGTTCGACTTGGTATGTATATATTACATGTCTTGCAATCAAAACCATACGCGATCACAAGCCAAGGTGAGTGGCCCAGCAACCTATTGTCTGTCTTGATTGGGTAGCACGAGGATTTGGGCCACCTTGCAGTGGCACAGAATTTTATTCCTGGTACCGATTAGGAACCAGGTCTGAAAGTCGAATTGCATCAGTGTACCCGGTTGATCCGACCCAAAAATAAATAATTATGGCGTATAAACTGCCCTTAAATTATCTTCGCATCCGTCTTGATCCGATAAAAGAAAAGAAAATAATCGTAAAATAAATTCTGCCATCCTGGGCTCAATGTGAGCTGGTCGACGCGTGAGCGTTGACCGAGCGAACCTTGAACCACGGGTCCGTGTCTGCTGCTTGTTTATGGCTTTTCAAGGGAACCAGTTCTGGCAAAGGTACCAGGACATGCCCGGAGGGCCTTAGTATTCATTTTCCAAATTACATTTTCCACAACAAGTTCTACTGTTGTCTACTACTTGCTTCCTCCCTCCCTAAATTGGTCGCGAGCTTGAATACTGTTCAAAAGAGGGGGAAGGGTTATATGAATTTTCTGGACATTGAGGTAGACGATGGGGTTGATGAGTAGCGTTGTAGACGATCTCTAGGAATTTTACCGTTTTTTTTTGGGAATTTAGAATTTTTCGGGGATTTTTTGACCTTTGAGGTGTAGTCCGGACAAAAAATCCGAAATTTTCAAGGGTGTGAGGTATGGTCCAGACAAAATTTTTGACCTCGTTCACCTGTATAGTCCGGACAACAATCTCAAAATCCGGAATTTAGAATCCTACCTCCTTGCGGCATTCTCATGGGTCCTGTGCGGGTTCGATCTCCCGCAGTCACAATTGCTGGCGACATTCATATTGTACAAATGGGAACTGGTGCTGCGCGATTCCGAATCGGACTCATTCAATTTGAACTAAACGACTCCATGTCTCGGCAGGCACCGCAGCCTCAAGAAATGTGTGGAACGCACCGCAACCACGTTGAGCGCGGTTTTCTTTCGCGGCTAGCGCTGCCCAGTAGAGGTGATATATAATGATTTCCGGGAGCAACATGACTTGTGAGGGGAGAAACTCATCCCCACTCGCTGGTGGATTGACCCGTCGGAAAATGTTTTACCCTTGAAGGTAAGGTTTTGCGCCGTTTCCTCTCTTTTTCGTTTTCGGGACCGATATACCCCAGCCGAGGAGGCATAGGGTGAGATGGGACGAGGAGAGAAATTGTCACATACACAATTTGAAATTTAACGCAGTGCACGGTTTTCCGGGCAAGGTAAGTTATGCGTGGTTGGCAATCATCTCAGTTTGTGAGTCACTGCATTATCTCCAACCAACCAATGGATGATTTTTATTTACAGGCCAGGACAACAAGACAAGTATGCAGCTGTAGAAGCCACTGCTGATGAGGAAATCTTCCTCCCTGGTAAGGCTGTCTACGGCAGTGCTCCGAAGCTCAACAGCTTCCTGGTTTTATTTTAGAATATCAGACATGTGTCAAGTGAATGCTGTGACGGAGCTTACCTTCTGTCGTCTTGCCACCACCACCAATGGACGACGACTCTCGCCCGGATGCTCAATTCAGGTCGGAGTTTACCACGATTAATCATGGATATGCACCGTAGGTACTCATTTCGAACTGGATTGCTCGCTTTCTGACGGCGCTTAATCCAGATATGCCGGCGCCTTTTTCCCGAGGTCTCAAAACTTCACAGTGTCGGGCAGCACATTCATCAGTAACAACTATAATGAGCCCGCTGTGCCACCAGGTTTGAATGCCCTACCTTTGTCTTTAGAAGGATGCAACGAGACTCATTCTTGCATAGGCTTTCGTACGATCCCGTTTGGCGATATAAATCTGATGCAGGAGATACGACTTCGCGGTCAGTCAGGTCTCGTAGACCGCTACCGAGTACGGATTTCTGTCAGTGTGCGGCGCATGCACTCGGCCCGGATTCATGGCGATAACTCAGATATGACTGTCGCCGTGTATCAGGGGGATAACGCGGAGGAGGTATGCATGCAGTATTGCATTTCCACACAGGCATCCATCAAATCTGACAGGAATGGCGGAATCATATCGCTAAATACTCACGCGTATGGTAAAGTCTCACATGCCTCTGGATTGGATTACTGAAATGGCGAGTTCTAGTCATCCAAATTTTTTTCAAATTTTTGCTACTGCACGCCGGTCTGGCATACATGCTATTGTTGTCCATGATGGTATGCCCCTTCCCTTCCCTTCAATGTAACATCATGTTTGATCCCCCGACTAGGTTTGATGCCTTGGAGGGATTTTCTGAAGCTCTATCACAAGTCACAGATCTTGACCGTCTATATGTTTGCATGTTGGGTACGTACACTGATTCCCTGTTATTTTTCCGCTATTGAAATGCCTCGAGGATACCGATCGCGCTGTAAGAAATATGGATGTACCAGTCTGGGTCTCACCTCTCTTGCAGGAAGCAGGTCAATACTTCCAACACATGTTTGGTAGCTACCTTGTGAGTTTCCACCTCTCACTCCATATATGCCTTCTAAATCTTTCATTGCAGCATACGGAGAGTCACACCTTTTGGATTCGGCGCTCAACCGGTCGGCTATGCGCGGACCTTACGCCTAATGATGTCGCTGCACCAGAGTTTTACGAGTTTTACGATCACGAGTGGATAGCGTCATCCAAGTTTGACAACACACCACCCTTGAATGATCCGAATGCGGAGGTCATGGTCATTGATTCTCTGGAGTTAGCAGAATACCATGATGTTTGTTGCTGGGAACTTGCCCACCCACGGTTCTTCCTGGTATCTCCACTGGCAGAGTTGCATATGGGAGCAGTCATGCATTCTCCCTCGGGTTCTGACCTGGATGGCTTAGTTGAGATTGCATCCTTGCCCAAGCCGAACCTGCTCCTAGAATGTTGGAACAGTAGTAACAACGATTTGAGCGAGGTCATTGTAGACGGCTGGACCCGGTGCGTATTTCATTCATGTCTCGGCGTTGGTTTGGCTGATCATGTTGGATACCAAAGCTACAAGGCAGGCAAGATGCTTGGGACCACTATCATCCACTATTCGATACAGCTAAAAAATATTAATCGGATGGCTTGGGTTTCTCAGGCAAACCACATTTTCCATCAACTTCACATCAAGTCAAACTACGAGGAATATGGTGTGTGTCTGGATAACATCTGTCCGATATTTAGGTTGACCCGAGGTACAGGGATCATAGTGGGGATTCACTTTCGGCTTCAAATCTTGGCACCAGCACAGGCTACTTATTTGTCTGTCCCGCCGGAGATCTACAAACCGGGCCAACCACGTTTCAATGGCCAGACTGTCCAGCTTACTGGTCGCTCGATCCATCCGGTGCCGAACGTCTCAGCACGGATGAAGCGACACATCTGGGGTTTCCTGCCCTTGAACTGGAGATCGAAGTGGAGGGACTCTCCTGGGATGTCAGCGGCTATGCTGGATTGCGTAAATTTCACAAAGCCAAAGGGTTCGACCCAGACAGCCAGGACGTTGCGCGGCATCTTGGGCACCAGCTGTTTCAGCTTTCGCGCGGGATGGAACCGCTATTTGCCCATGGTGAGCAGACATCTAACATGTTTTCCACATGCTCATTTTAGCAGTGGACGGCGAGGTTTCGGATGTTGGCACTGAGAGAGAAAGCAGTTCCACGGTCACCACTGAGCATGACGATGAAGATGGTTCGACTCCCGAGAACGGTGTGTATAATTAACAACCTTGGCCTTGCGATCCGACTAAATTCAAAATTCACAGAGTGTGTTTCGGACCCTCACCAAATTTCTTCCCTTCACAGCGTCGAGTCAGCTCCCCAATCTTGGGGCTGGAAAGTCGTGATGTTTATCAAGCTTGGGTTGATCCTTTCCCTCGGCTTCGGATTGTTGTACGAATGCGGACGGGTTTCCTCGCCCAGCGAGACATTTAACGGATGGAAAGTTATCGACCTTCATTGTTATGAATTTTGTCTTCCCTTAATTTCGCCTGTTGCTCGTTATACTTATCACATACTCGCATCGTGGTGGTTTGGCCC